TCACCATGGCGTGCGCGATGACCACCACCACCACAACCACCACAACCACCACAACCACAACTAGCACCACCACAACCACCACCACCACAACCACCACAACTAGCACCACCACCACCACCACCACAACCACCACCACCACAACCACCACAACCACAACTAGCACCACCACAACCACCACCACCACAACCACCACAACTAGCACCACCACCACAACCACCACAACCACCACAACCACCACAACTAGCACCGCCACCACAACCACCACCAGCACCACATGACTTTTCTTTCGTGTTGTGCGCGCTGCATTTAGCGCTATAGCGCTTGGATTTATAGCGTTCATCTTGTTGGTTCTTTCGGTAAAGTCACCACGTAGAAGGGAAGTAATACAATAATAAAAATTAAACAATAAAATAATTCTCACGACGTTTCGGCCACAACGCAAGCAGCCGTCCTCAGGTGAAGAACAGGTCTGTCGATAAGGCAGAGTCTAAATGACACGTTTTAGGCTGTCTTCTCGACAGCCCTGTTCTTCACCTGAGGACGGCTGCTTGCGTTGTGGCCGAAACGTCGTGAGAATTTTATTTTATTATGTTTTATTTTTATTATTTTATTACTTCCCTTCTACGTGACGACTTTACCGAAAGAACCAAGAAGATGAATCCCTGCGGTCACGAAAGCTTTAAATCGAAATTCATAGCGTTTGTTTATTCGTGTTGCTGGTGACTTTGTGTGTTTCGTATCGGAATCACCTCCAGTGCTGTTGCTGCTGGCGGCAATAAAAGATGTTTAAAAAGTCAAAGTCTCTCTCTCTCTCATGCTCTCTCGCTCTCACGCTCTCCTGCCCCCTTCACTCTCTGATCAGCTCCGCTCTGAGTGACATCGGCAGCTGCTAAGATCAGGAGGAGGTCGCGGCTGTTTAACACTGGGGGTGGTGATGGTCGTGATAATGGTCTTGCAAGAGATGGGAGTGGTGTTGGTGGTAGTGATGGTAGTGGTGATAGTGGTGATGGTGGTGATGTTGGTGGTGGTAGTGGTATTGGTGATGGTAGTGGTATTGGTGGTGGTAGTGGTGTTGGTGGTGGTAGTGGTGTTGGTGGTAGTGGTGTTGGTGGTAGTGATGGTAGTGATGGTAGTGGTGTTGGTGGTGTTGGTGGTGGTAGTGGTGTTGGTGGTAGTGGTAGTGATGGGAGTGATGGTAGTGGTGTTGGTGGTGGTAGTGATGGTAGTGGTGTTGGTGGTGGCAGTGATGGTAGTGATGGTAGTGGTGTTGGTGGTGGTAGTGGTGTTGGTGGTGGTAGTGATGGTAGTGGTGTTGGTGGTGGTAGTGATGGTAGTGGTGTTGGTGGTGGTAGTGGTGTTGGTGGTGGCAGTGATGGTAGTGGTGTTGGTGGTGGTAGTGATGGTAGTGGTGTTGGTGGTGGTAGTGATGGTAGTGATGTTGGTCATGATAATGTTGTTGATGGTGTTAGTGAACACATCGAGAGAGACACCCAGACTCAGGGATCGAACCCAGACTCTCAGTGTCTCTGGCATGGCCAATACGAACCCACACAGACCCAGACCCAGGGCTCGAACCCAGCCTCTCAGTTACTCTGACATGGCCAATACGAACCCACACAGACCCAGACCCACGGCTTGAACCCAGACTCTCAGTGTCTCTGGCATGGCCAATACGAACCCACACAGACCCAGACCCAGGGCTCGAACCCAGCCTCTCAGTTACTCTGACATGGCCAATACGAACCCACACAGACCCAGACCCACGGCTTGAACCCAGACTCTCAGTGTCTCTGGCATGGCCAATACGAACCCACACAGACCCAGACCCAGGGCTCGAACCCAGACACTCAGTGTCTCTGACATGGCCAATACGAACCCACACAGAGACACACCCAGACCCAGGGCTCGAACCCAGACTCTCAGTGTCTCTGGCATGGCCAATACGAACCCACACAGAGACACACCCAGACCCAGGGCTCGAACCCAGACTCTCAGTGTCTCTGGCATGGCCAATACGAACCCACACAGAGACAAACCCAGACCCAGGGCTCGAACCCAGACTCTCAGTGTCTCTGACAAGGCCAATACGAACCCACACAGACACAGACCCAGGGCTCGAACCCAGACTCTCAGTGTCTCTCACATGGCCATTAGGAACCCACACAAACCCAGACCCAGGGCTCGAACCCAGACTCTCAGTGTCTCTGACACGGCCAATACGAACCCACACAGACCCAGACCCAGGGCTCGAACCCAGACTCTCAGTGTCTCTGACATGGCCAATACGAACCCACACAGACACAGACCCAGACCCAGGGCTCGAACCCAGACTCTCAGAGTCTGTGACATGGCCAATACGAACCCACACAGACACAGACCCAGACCCAGGGCTCGAACCCAGACTCGCAGTGTCTCTGACATGGGCAATACGAACCCGCACAGACACAGACCCAGGGCTCGAACCCAGACTCTCAGTGTCTCTGACATGGCCAATACGAACCCACACAGACCCAGACCCAGGGCTCGAACCCAGACTCTCAGTGTCTCTGACATGGCCAATACGAACCCACACAGACACAGACCCAGGGCTCGAACCCAGACTCTCAGTGTCTCTCACATGGCCATTAGGAACCCACACAAACCCAGACCCAGGGCTCGAACCCAGACTCTCAGTGTCTCTGACACGGCCAATACGAACCCACACAGACCCAGACCCAGGGCTCGAACCCAGACTCTCAGTGTCTCTGACATGGCCAATACGAACCCACTCAGACACAGACCCAGACCCAGGGCTCGAACCCAGACTCTCAGAGTCTCTGACATGGCCAATACGAACCCACACAGACACAGACCCAGACCCAGGGCTCGAACCCAGACTCGCAGTGTCTCTGACATGGCCAATACGAACCCACACAGACACAGACCCAGGGCTCGAACCCAGACTCGCAGTGTCTCTGACATGGCCAATACGAACCCGCACAGACACAGACCCAGGGCTCGAACCCAGACACTCAGTGTCTCTGACATGGCCAATACGAACCCACACAGAGACACACCCAGACCCAGGGCTCGAACCCAGACTCTCAGTGTCTCTGACAAGGCCAATACGAAACCACACAGACCCAGACCCAGGGCTCGAACCCAGACTCTCAGCATTGGCGGCTCAGCATCTGTGAACTCTCTCTATCTCTCTCTAGCTCTCTCTCTATCTCCCGCTCTTCCTGTAGCTGTCTCCCTATCTCCCGCACTGTCTCCCTATCTCCCACTCTCTCTTTTCCGCTCTCTTTTTTAAGTTTTTTTTTTTACGATCGGTGGAAACAAGAAGATGCTCGGTGTAGTCGGCACTTTGCTTCGTTCATCATTTCGTAATTTTTTTTTTATAATAACTTTGCTTCATGTAAACCCCCACCTCTCGCTCACTCTCTCTCCCGCTCTCTCTCCCGCTCTCTCTCCCGCTCTCTCTCCCGCTCTCTCTCCCGCTCTCTCTCCCGCTCTCTCTCCCGCTCTCTCTCCCGCTCTCTCTCCCGCTCTCTCTCCCGCTCTCTCTCCCGCTCTCTCTCCCGCTCTCTCTCCCGCTCTCTCTCCCGCTCTCTCTCCGCTCTCTCTCCCGCTCTCTCTCCCGCTCTCTCTCCCGCTCTCTCTCCCGCTCTCTCTCCCGCTCTCTCTCCCGCTCTCTCTCCCGCTCTCTCTCCCGCTCTCTCTCCCGCTCTCTCTCCCGCTCTCTCTCCCGCTCTCTCTCCCGCTCTCTCTCCCGCCTCTCTCTCCCGCTCTCTCTCCCGCTCTCTCTCCCGCTCTCTCTCCCGCTCTCTCTCCCGCTCTCTCTCCCGCTCTCTCTCCCGCTCTCTCTCCCGCTCTCTCTCCCGCTCTCTCTCCCGCTCTCTCTCCCGCTCTCTCTCCCGCTCTCTCTCCCGCTCTCTCTCCCGCTCTCTCTCCCGCTCTCTCTCCCGCTCTCTCTCCCGCTCTCTCTCCCGCTCTCTCTCCCGCTCTCTCTCCCGCTCTCTCTCCCGCTCTCTCTCCCGCTCTCTCTCCCGCTCTCTCTCCCGCTCTCTCTCCCGCTCTCTCTCCCGCTCTCTCTCCCGCTCTCTCTCCCGCTCTCTCTCCCGCTCTCTCTCCCGCTCTCTCTCCCGCTCTCTCTCCCGCTCTCTCTCCCGCTCTCTCTCCCGCTCTCTCTCCCGCTCTCTCTCCCGCTCTCTCTCCCGCTCTCTCTCCCGCTCTCTCTCCCGCTCTCTCTCCCGCTCTCTCTCCCGCTCTCTCTCCCGCTCTCTCCCGCTCTCTCTCCCGCTCTCTCTCCCGCTCTCTCTCCCGCTCTCTCTCCCGCTCTCTCTCCCGCTCTCTCTCCCCGCTCTCTCTCCGCTCTCTCTCCCGCTCTCTCTCCCGCTCTCTCTCCCGCTCTCTCTCCCGCTCTCTCTCTCCCTCGCTCTCTTCTCCCGCTCTCTCTCCCGCTCTCTCTCCCGCTCTTCTCTCCCGCTCTCTCTCCCGCTCTCTCTCCCGCTCTCT